GTCTTTTGTTCTTCCCTCATATTTAAAATACTTAAAACATATAAAATATTATCCCCATATTTTGATGGTTTCATCGAACTTGTAGGGTCATTAAAAACAAACATGCCCTCTGGACGTCACGTTTGGCCACTGTTGTCGTCATTGTTTTTAAATAACCTATTGTATATTGACAGGAGTTGGTTTGTCCCGGTGCAGAGGCTCGATGGTCTCTGGCAGAACTGATTCAGGCGGTTGTTCTGATGAGCCATGCCCACTCTCTGGCTTCGTTTGTGTGGGGTTGTGGGATTCTCCCCGAGCCTGAGCCGTCAGGAGATCCGTCGCTCCAGACGTGTTCGCCCACAGAGTCCTGTTGTGCTGCCCGAGACAAGGCCAGGAACCAGCAAGAGGTAATGTAATCATGACTGCTGCTGTATCAAGTTAAATATTTAGTTAGTTTTTTTCAGGTAAATCTTTCATGTGTGTGTGTGTGTTTGTGTCTTTGCGCAGTGGTCTGAGGCTGTGAACGAGGTTAAGCTTTTGATGGAGAAGATGATGAAGGTTCGGCAGCAAGGTGAAGAGTTTACTCCGGAGGAGATGGTTACTCGCTTTGAAAGAGAGAGGACAGAGAGTTTGCTGGAACCTGCTGATGGTATGAACACACACATATGAACTCAATACACTTCTGCTAGGTTAAAATAGTCTTCTGTTGTACCTTATGCACATGATAATTCACATGGGAAGTTGAATAATTACAGTACTTCCCATGAATATAACCGACACCAAGTGAAAATTTGAGCTTTCTCAAGCAGTTTTATAACATTCAAATCGATGCTTTTTCCCTCCTAGATGAACTTTAATGCTTTATTATGGATGTGACACACAGAAGCACAAGTTCGCAGCATGTTTCCCCTACATCTTCATTATTTTGTGCTTCATTCATCTTCACTCTCTGATCTGTGTTTTACAGTTCAGCGCTCCGTTCTTCCTGATTGTGTCTCGCAGTTTGTTGTGGATGCAGATTTTACTTACCAGGATTTTAGTCCTAGAGGAGTGCAGGCCCCTCCAACCATGAGAGCTCAGGTTCAGTACTATATATGTATATTTCTCACACACAGTTTCAAAGATTTACTTTTTTGCTGAAATGTATCATGTGAATTATAACTAGTATTCTTTTTATAATATTATAGTATTCATTTTTTTTGAATTAGCTCTTATTTTTATGCTATCTTTGGTTAAAATTTTGTTGTTTTGTTATATGCTTTTTCCTTTTTATTAGTCTTTTTTTGTTTTAAAATATTTCTATTTAGCTTTAATTTATTTCTTTTTCAGTTTATATTTTTTTTATATTTAGTTTAAGTTTTAGTCATTTTATGTGGTTTTGCCTTTATTATTCTGTTTGTTTAAAAAAAAATTCTGGTTTAAATTTTGTAATTTTAACAAAAAACAAAATTTTGTTTAAATGTTGTAGGTTTATTATGTGCTTTTTTCTTTTTATTAGTCTTTGTTTGTTTTTAAAAAAAATTCTCTTTAGCTTTAATTTATTTCTGTTTCAGTTTAAGGCTTATATTTTCAGTTTAATTTTAATTGAAGTTTTAGTCATTTTATGTGGGTTTTGTTTGCTTTTAATTTATTTTTGTTTCAGTTTAAATTTTCAGTTTCATTTTAGTTTAAGTTTTAGTCATTTTATTTGGTTTTGCCTTTATTGTTCTGTTGTTGTAATAATTTCTGGTTGAAATATGTAGTTTTATTATGTGCTTTTTTCCTTTTAATAGTCTTTGGTTGTTTTAAAGGTGGTATAATACCCTTTTCACAAGGAAAGGTTGATGTCCCCAGGGTGTGTATGTGAAGTTTTAGCCAAAGTAACCCACAGATTTTTTTCATATAGCATGTTAAAATATCTCCTTTTGTTTTGAACTTTGAGCATTGCAACTTTACAGATGTTGTTTATACTCAAACAGCAACATTACACACTAACTAAAGTAAAAAAAGTGAAATCATTATCAACCACCCCATTAAAATATTTCTATTAAGCTTTACTTTATTTTGGTTTCAGTTTTAGTTTATATTTTCAGTTTCATTTTAGTAATTTTATGTGGTTTTGTTTTGCTTTTAATTTATTTTGGTTTCAGTTTTAGTTTATATTTTCAGTTTCATTTTAATAATTTTATGTCGTTTTGCTTTTTTTATGCCTTTATTATTTTATGCCTTTATTATTCTGTTTGTTTAAAAACAAATCTATTTAGCTTTAAATTATTTTTATTTCAGTTTTAGTTTTATGTTTTCAGTTTCATTTTAGTTCATTTTGAATGTGCTTTTGCCCTTTTGTTACTTTTTGATTGTTTTTAGAATGGGTTAGGATTAGTTTGAGTCATTTTGGTACTTCAGCTTAAACTTGTTTATTTCAATAACTGGTTTAAAATTGAATTTCTCAATTGAATAGTTTTTGATTTAGTTAGCAATAACAACACTGGTTGCATGATGTTGATCTTTGTGCCTGCAGGACTATTCGTGGGAAGATCACGGCTTCTCTCTTATGAACCGGCTGTATGGGGAGATGGCACAGCTTCTGGATGAGAAGTTTCAGGTGGTGTGCGCGCTCACGTATCACACCATGGCCATGCACTCGCACGTGGACACTTCTACGCTGCGGAAAGCGATATGGAACTATATACAGTGCATTTATGGAATCAGGTCAGTCATACACGCATCATAGCCATGAATCGACCTTATAACATTCAGGACAAAAGTGAGTCAGGGTTACGTTTATATAAGAAGAAAAAATAGTCCCTGTCATAAGGACTGCTCATTATCAGAGAAAAGGTAGCCATAAAATGCAATAATTTTGGTTGTTAAAATTGTTCTAATCTTTGCATACACAGGTATGATGACTACAATTATGGGGAGGTCAACCAGCTGTTGGAACGCAGTTTAAAAGTGTATGTGAAGACAGTGGCTTGTCACCCGGAGAAAACCACACCAAGAATGTACTTCTCCTTCTGGAGGCAGTTCCGGCACTCAGAAAAGGTACAAGATGTGTGAGACTTCTTATTGATGTGTGTTCATAAAGTTTCATTTCAACTGAAATCTGTGTGCTTTGTTGTTTTCTGAATAGTTAGCATTTTGGTGTGATGTGTTAGTGTCCTCTAGTGGTTCTGTTCAGGATTAAACTTTTTTTCTGAAAGTTGTGTCAGACTGAAAGTCCATAAAATGTCTATTAGTTCAGCTTAGCTAATCTTGTTACGGTACAATTAGTTTCAGGATGAGTTTCAGAACAGCAATAGTCTCTTTTTTCCCCCTGGACTTCACAATTCATCAGTTGAGGGTAGTACGAATGCATTTATGTTACCTGTTATGTGTAATGTGTGTTGATCTCTTTATGCAGGTCCATGTGAACCTGTTACTGATGGAGGCACGACTGCAGGCAGCCTTACTCTATGCTCTCAGGGCAATTACACGCTACATGACCTAATGCTTTTCCAAAGAGTATTAAAACAAGTGATGCCCTGCATACTCGCGATTATGCTCTGATTATAGCATGTGTTGACAACACAAATTGCACACAAACACACTTTAAAGCACAAAGGCTCAAGAGCTATTTTGTTTCATTTTCTCTTGTCTTATTTCTGGCTTCTATGGGCTGGTTGATCATCTGCTACTAGTTCATGATTGAATTTAGGAGGTAGAGAATTTTGCACACGTCCTATAATGAGCAAATTGCCTCATTGTGGTCTTTTTCTTATACTGTGAATGTGTCTTTGCCCTGCTGCAGTATTCTCTCCATTGTGTTGTGTGTGTTTTGATGAATGTTTATGTAAAAGTTTGACACTAAGAATGGCCTGTTTCTCTCTCAGATTGAGAGCTGATTTATAGTGGACGAAAACTAGATGAAAAAAAAAAACTTTGTTGTTGGGTGTTATTTGTGCATTTTTATGTATAATAAAATATTTTACTATGACATTCCTGTTTTGGTTCATGTGATTGTATATGATGTGCATAAAATAAATTGCTCACACACTCGTTTTTAGATGCATGATAAACGAAGAGCCTATAAATATGCTTGATAAACTGTGATCTAACACGAAAATAACATCAAAAATTGTTTATTGGGTATTTTAATTGTATACATTGTTGTTGTTGTTGTTTTTTTATTCAACCCTGGTTTCACCGACAAGTCCCAGCCAAAAATGCATGTTTGAGCTGTTTTAACTGAAAGCATATCTTAAAACATGTCAGTGCCATTGTTTTGTCTAAAAATTCTTTCATTTACACACCCTCAAGTTGTTCCAAACCTGTGTGAATTTCTTTCTTCTGCTGAACACAAAAGAAGATATTTTGAATTGTTTCTTTTGTGTTCAGCAGAAGAAAGAAATGCATATGTTTGAGTGAGTATGATGACAGCGTTTTAATTTTTGGGTTAAACTATCCACTGAACACCTTTTGTCATTTGTTAAACCCACGAGCCACAACACAAGTACATAACTACGATGTCTGAATATTTTATCGGATATATTTTAATATGTCTACTGCAGTCAATTACCAACGACTTTTCTCTCTCAGAACATGACAACTAAAACTAGTAGATCCACATATCACACTAAATGTCACCGGCGGCTGTTGATGCGAGACTCTGATACTTTACTGGTGTTAAAGCCTCAGCACTGTGAGAAGCATTTAGCAAACAAATACATTTTCATCACAACTTTGAAAAAGATATAAAAGACCAACATTTTTTGATGAACTATTTATTCTTCCAGCGACATTTTTCGTAAATTCCAGGTTGCTAGGCTATTTTTTCATTGTTTGTAAGAAACTTCATTCGACACTCTTCTAACACATCCAGCAACTCTAAAATACCTTAAAACTGTCTCACTACTGTGTCATTTGAATATTTTCCTGATTTTGTAACCTCTAAATAATAAAATAATAATAAAATTCTTTAATTTCTCGGAAATAATTTGAATATGTATAGTGCTAAAAGAGTAGGAGGAGTCGGCGCGCGCTTGGCCTCGCGCACAGCGGCGCTTCCGGGCATCGCGAGACTCGAGCATCCGCGGCTCAACGCCGCACGGACTCAGTTCACGTGAATTCTCACTGGTCACTGTCTGTCAGTGTGTTAGGGATTCATAAAGGTAGGAATCAAGTACTTTTCCTAACGAATTTCTACTTAATAACTAACTTTTGTTAATAAGAAGAGATTTGAAATCAAGTATTTTTTTTTAACTATTTAAAGTGCCAGTGGCAGGTTCACAGAATATGGTGTATGGTGACAATTTGAAGGTGTTAACGGGAATAATATGTCTTGTTTAGTGAAGCATTTACGTTTTGGTTTTCGCATGTGTGTGTGGGTGTGTGTAACATGACATGTTTTTCTATCCCGGGGACTTTAACCTGCATGCACACACACTCATAATGACTCGTGTCACTGTGGGGAGTCTGAGGACATAAACGACGTACATAAACGTTTAATAAATCATACAGAATGAGTTTTTTTGAAAATGTAAAAATGCAGAAAGTTGCGTGAAGAGTAGGGTTAGGGGTCGGGTTAGTGTAAGGGAATATAATATACAGTTTGGACAGTTTAAAAACCATTATGTCTATGGAGAGTTCTCACAAAGATTGTGTGTGTGTTTGTGTTAACATTGCGAAATTGACGTGTAAATGAAGTTCAAGAGATGGTGGAAGCGATTAGTTCCCGTATGGGAGTCTGCTGACTGCTCTGTCTATACAAAGGGAAAAGCAAAGAAGACACTTCATGATGGTTGAAACTGCGAGCTGAGATGATCTGAAACCTTTGATGAGCAAAGGATGATTCGGCAGCAGGTGCACTAAAGTTTCTGTACGCAATTGCATTGCATTCTTTATTCAACTTTGACTGTTTGCATGAAGCAAACTGTTATTTTATCTGCTATAGCTGTGTGAATGAACTAAATAAGATGGAGCGATATAGTGAGAGCAGAAGTAATGCGGTAATGAGAGCATGAAGATAAGGTTTCTGCTATGTTGGTTTTTAGAGCTTCTGTCACTGTATAGTTACATCTAGACCAATATGCTGTTCATCTACAGTAGTCGTCAACATTTGAAGTGAATCAAAAAAGTTCATCAAGATTGTGCTAAGACAAGAACGAGTATTGTTCAAAATTCTTGTGTAACTTGTCTTTGATAAAAGGTTTTGATCATCTTCAAATGTTGACTATTGTATATTATTGAATAATAGCATATACAATGATTAACGGTTTCAACGGTGTGAAACCGTCCCCGTCGTTTTGATTCATTGGTACATTTGTTGATTTTGGTGTATGCCAATGAATATATCGAGAGTCTGAAGAGAAATGGAAAGACTGGCCTGAAGATGCGCAGCTCTTGCTTTTGAACTCTTTTCATACCTACTGAAACTGTTTTTTAAAAGCGTCATGTGGTTTGATTAATTTAATCAAATAGAAGTGCGTGGAAAACAGAATGGAATGTCTCTAGGATTAGATTAGGCCATAGGCTTCATCACTTCCTGTTCTGTACAAGGTCACTTCCTGTCTGCTCTCCCCTGGAGCTACAGGAGGAAGAGGGTGCGGCTGTCCGGTGAAATTGTCCAAAATGCCTGACCAAGTCAAAGTCTCTGATATGTATTTCAGGGGTTTAGCGAATAGCTCAGTACTTACATGTCGTCTGTTGTTCTAGCGTAGAACGGTTAATAGAATGCGTTTGCTAATTGAGTTATATTATATACAAAGGTTTTTCTGTCTGTTAGTGTCTGTCTGACATTGATTTACTTGAAAGAAAATGGAAGACCATTGGGTTCATTCTTAAACTATAAAGTTTTCAGAGAAAATGTACGCACATTTTGTTTTCCAAAGGCACCTGTACTGTAATCCTGTCTGTTCATGAAAGTGTGTGGAATCTCACTCTGGAGGAAATTGACATCATGTGGTAAAAGGAAGTGGCTGTGTTTGTGACACCTGACTTTCTGTTCCCAGGACATACTTTGCTATTGTCTTCTCTCTCTCTCTCTCTCTCTCTCTCTCTCTCTCTCTCTCTCTCTGGCCCTTTCTCTCTCTAGCCCTTTCTCTCTCTCTCTCGCCCTTTCTCTTTCGCTCTCGCTCTCATTTTTGTCTTATATGTGTTTTTCTACTGAATAGGTTTGTCAATAGTGGCTCAAATTTGTCTACTTGCATGTGTTCTTTGGTTATTTGTTCAGTGAGTGAGTGAGTGTGTGTGTGTATGAGAGAGGATTGCAGTGTGACAACTTGTTTCCTGGTATCCTATCATTCCAGTTCCACTCACATAAGACTTCCTGTTGGAGGGGGAGGGAACATCCTGAGCCTGAGAGTATGAGAAGGGGTGGATAAAGGAAAAGAATGAACCATAAGAAAAGAAAGAGGGTACAACTAAAGCTTTTGCAGGGTCAGCCTGCAGTGTTGTCATCATGTAATCTGGTTTAAAACATGCTTTTATGTGGGAGTTTAATAATGGCGCAAGTAAATTGACTAGCGCAAAGAAACCTTGGTAAATGACCTTACATGATTTATTTAAAGCTACACTGTGTGATTTTTACCCCCATCTAGCGGTGAAAAGGTATATGACCATCCAGTGAATAATAGTTTCTGTTCCTCTCAATTCCGATTTCGTTTTAACTCGTACGGTGGCCAATGTAGTCCAAGATTAACATGGCTTCCAGTTCGACCTCGCCCATGAGTGTTAACTCAAACGTAAACGCGAAAGGCGAAGCTTGAATTAACGGGTATGTCCCTCTTTGGCAAATGTACTTTCAAGATGGAGGGGCAACATGGTGACCGACTTATGGTGAACCGCTTACCTGTATGTATTTTCAATGGCATATTATACACTCACGAGAATACTTTATTACTTGAACGAAGTAAATGTACATTAATGAGCACATATTTTTGAAAGAACTAAGTGTTTTTAGCTAAGAATAAACTAAAAGAGTTACACAGTGTAGCTTTAAATGTGTGTGTGTGTGTGTGTATATATATATATTACTCCTACAAATGCTTATGCAATAAGGTCAAGTGATATTTGTTTTTAATGACCCTACAAGTTTGATGAAACCATCCCAAAAATATATATTTTTTATGATTTTTATTTTCCTAGACCTCTTGGCCTCTACTTTATATGTGTGTTAAATGCATATATTTGCATATATCATTCACATGCATGATGCAACAAGTAGTCTTGAAGTGTATTAGTTTAGTAAGATTTCTTTCTTTAGAGGCAATACAGAGAGAAAGAGAAGAGACAGAATAGAGGAAACTGAGTCGAGTGAGGCGAAGTGTGAAAATAAACCCAATGCTGTTAAATTTGTTCCCTCACACATCGCATAGCGCATAGCAAAGCATGTAACAGAAAAGCACACATATATCAATGCTTTGAAATATTGTAAAAATACATTCAAAATAAAACACTAAAAACTAAACGTAAATTTAGGCGTCACATTGCATAGTATGAAAACGGATATTCATTTTGAAGTCTGGAAAAGTTTGCATTGAACAGTGTTTAATTATTAGTGATTGTAATGATTAAATTTAAGGGTGTGTTTGATAGAAAAAGTTATCTAATGTAAAAAAAGAGGAAATAACCGTCTTCGGTTAAATATCCAATATCGAGTGATATGAATAAATTAACTGATATGTTACTGATGAATTGTGCATCACTTCAGCCTTTTTGTTTTGTGTGTTTTTCGTTTTTTGATAATTTTTTCATCACAGTTATCGTATCCACTGAAAACTTCACAAGAATCGTGTTTGAGACAGACGTTTCTTCCAGTATGTTGCAAAGTGTCCGTGTGAACCGATGAATTTCATAATTTACAGTGAACTCCATCATTGCTAAACATCTTTGTCTGGGCACAATTTCTCACCATCATCCTTCCCATGCAGATAATAATCGTAGTAATCATTTGCACCAACTAGAAGCATTTCACCCCATCTACAAGCCCAAAGAAGTGCTGCAAAACTCATTTCACGACCTGAATACATGCTTGAAGGGCTGGTTTCAGTTTTGACTGGATTATGGTCTTTGTTCTGTTGGCAAACTAGGTGGTCTTCTGCATTTGCTGTTGGTAATGCCCTCAAACCCTCAAATGCAACTTCCTCTTATCGTCACAGCTGTGAATGCTACGGTTGCTGAGGACACATTTAGACACTTATTGAGTTGTCAATGTGCAGCCTTAGTGCTTTTACATTATTAACGTTTTCATAACCTTCCGAGTCATTGTTTGGTCAGTCATACGCATTTCATTGTGTAGTTATATCCTTTTTTCATACATTTATCGAAAATAATTATGATGATTGTAGGCTTTTGAGAGTTTTTCATTCGTTTTAAAAGCCCTCTTTTTCAACTGTAGCAAGGTTAACTTTCTGTGGCAGAACAAGACGTTGTCATTACATTTAGTTAGTTAACATGTGATTGGTGCTAATGCTCTTCTTCATGCATGTGAACGTGTCAAACCTCTTTTTGAAAAAAAGTGTGGTCTGTGTTTTCTGGTTTAGAATATATTTAAACACTGAAAGTAGACTCGCCTCTTCTCTTCTGTTAAATGTGGATCGGAGAGCAAGAGAAGTAAAAGAAGAGACATGTGGCTTCCTCTTTATTATCTCAACTGTTTCTCCTAAAAAGCACTGAGATCGAACAGAGAGCAAATTGAGACTTTTGCTGAAGTCTATTTATTCTCGAAATCGAATGCGTCTCTGCTAGAAGTTCTGAAGAGATCTTACGCTGGGTTTAGAAGATAGCAAAATCGACAATGAAGGCCTTTTTCACACTAGAACTTTTTAGTACTGACCCGTGTCCGTTGGACTGCACAGTTCAGTTTAAGAAAGTTAAACATTTTAAAACGTTCCAAATTTGAAAAACATTTCAAATTTGAAAAACATTCTATTTTTAAAAAAACTTGCAAATTTGAAACACATTCCAAATTTAAAAAACATTCAAAATTAAAAAAAACATTCCACTTTTGAAAACATTCCAAATTTTAAAAAAACATTCCAAATTTGAAAAACATCCCAAATTTGGAAAAAAAAAAAATTTGAAAAACATTCCAAATTTGAAAACATTCAAAATTTAAAAAACATTCCAATTTAAAAAAAACAAACATTTCAAATTTGAAAACATTCCAAACTTTAAAAACATTCCAAATATGAAAAAAACATTCCAAATTTTAAAATTAGGATTCGAAAAAGGCAAGTCATCTTAATTTATGTAGCGCTTTTAACACTGTAGATGATTGTTCCAAAGCGGCTTTACAGTGATAATAGGTAAATAATAAATTAAAGTAGCAGAATGTTTTGGCTTAATGGCAGCTCTAGAATAAAGTTGCATTCTAATTCAAAGTTTGAAATGGTTGGTTTACATGATCAAACCTAGGAATGGTTCATTTGAAGTGAACTATAGCGTAGTTTTCCATTTGGAATGAAATCGCAAGTGAACGTTGATCACACGATGGATGGCTGCGTCCAAAATCGCATACTCTCTTGAGTACTTCTTTTGAGTAATTGCTTCACGAGCTCTAAAAAAGTATGTTCTGTATATGAGTGTGAAGTATTTGTGTAATCTGGATGTACTTTATTCGCCATTTTGTCATTATCACATTACCTACGGCGTCAGAAGGCTTGTCGCAATAATCAATATATGAAGAGTTCAGATGCAAAAGCCTCTAAGTGCCATTTTTAATTTTCTTCTAAAATTATCATTTTTATCAAGCTTGTATATTTAAGTTCAGTAATTTCACTTAAATGGCAATGAAGATTACCAATTAATTGTCATTTAAGTGAAATTACTGAACTTAAATACACAAGCTTGATAAAAATGGTCATTCTAGAACAAAATTTCAAATGGCACTTAGAGGCTTTTGCATCTGAACTCTTCATATATTGACATATCGCACAATACTGTATATGTATATGACCTCAATAATTTTTGGTGACACAATACAGTATATCGCCCATTATGTTGGTAATGAACATCACCAACATGTTGCCAATTGTGCTGTCATCTTGTCTGTTCAAGCCTGTGTTCACAGAGCGGTCATCGATGGGTGAAAAAAAGGTGCCATTTGAGGTGTTATAATTTTTTCCTGACAACAGTTTGGTAGAAGAAGTCCAACTACACTCGATTTTAAAGCCGCAAATATAAATGTCACAGTGCAAATGGTGCGCACTAAAATAATTTTAGCAGCAGATATGGCCTGTTGAGGCTTCTGTGCTTTTGTTCACACACATCTGACTGCCAAGTAGGGTTTGTGTTTTCAGCAATAGTGTGCACCCTTACTTCACAGAGAAAATCTCCATATTTGTGCATTTGCGAGTTTGTTTTATTTTCTGCTTGTTACTTTTTTTTTGTGTGATCAAAATTTGTATTTTTTTTAACCATACCTGGAACATATGAGTTCACATACAGACAGATTCCATGAAAACTGTATAAACTGAAAAAACAACAAAAATATGAAAAGGGATATGTAGAATACGGAGGGGAAAGGAAAAGTAGTATGTCAAAACCTCAGCTTATCTAATACTTTGCTCTTATTATAAGAAAATATGTGTTTGTTTGAAATCAAGTATTATGATTAGGCTATATTCAGTGGTATAAAATGGTCTTAAAATGACAATAATATCGTTTATCGTAATTATTTCTGGGAATATGTAACGCTCAACATAAAGTATTGATCGTGACAGACAGGCCTATGCGTCACTTCACTGTCATACACAAGTCCTCTCCCGTGGCCTCATGGGATAGTAAAGTGTCCATCACACACACTTCAGAATCTCATTGGTAGTAGTTGATCATCCGAGCACTGTGAATTCACACTGTTTTTCACCAACTATATAGTAGGAAAGTATGCAATTTCAGTTGGAGCCATAGATCAGCATGCATGCAACTTTTCTTGGTACTGGTCACACTTATTATAGAATTATGCATTTCCCATAGCTTCTTATCTCTGCAGCTGAGAGCAGATCTCAATCTTCACTTCTATTACAATGTACCTGTGGCCGATAAATGCAAGTGCAATTCTGTTTGCATGGTTTGTGGTGTGGAATAATAACACAGTGAGTTCTCTCAAACTTTTACCTAGCAACTGTGGTCAATGGCTACCACTAGTACATAGTCAGAGAAAAAGTGCAAAAAAAGTTGACCTTTTGGAGGCACTGGGGCAAAAAACAACTTTGTACTTTTTATCTACCCCTAAAATTAGCACATTTGTACCTTGAAGTAGTAATATATACCTTTACGGTACTGCTATAAACCTTTTAGGGGTAAATAAGGTAGAACATGACAAGCTGTTGTGCCACTAAAGGTACAATTTTGCACATTTTATTTGAGTTTACTAAGGTTAATGGATAAAAAAGTCTGAAAAGAGATTTCTCAAGACGGGACGAGAGGGGTGTAATAACCCGAACAAAGCAACTGAACCAAATGTCAGAGATTTGAATATGAATTTAAACATTTATTTAAATTAGGGCTGTGCAAAGATTAATTGCGATTATTTGCATCCAAAATAAAAGTTTGTGTTTACATAATATGTGTGTGTGTGCTGTGTATAATTATTTTGTATATTTAAATACATATGCATGCATGTATGTATATATTTAAGAATTATTTGCACGTAAATACTGTATATAAATACATAATCTATATTATGTATAAATATAAATATTTTATATATGTATAACACATTTTCTTTTATATATACATGCTTGTGTGTGTATTTATATATACAAAATAATTATACACAGCACACACACATATATTATTTTATTTTTGATGCGATTAATCAATAATTAATCTTTGCACAGCCCTAATTTAATTATTTTAAATGATCCATCTAAGCTGCAATACATATTGATTATATAACCCTATACTCTCTCATTTGTCTCTGTTTTTATTTGTTAATTTTAGAAGAGAACACATTGATATTTAAACCTCATTAGGTCTCCTGAACGCTGAAAAAGTAAAAATTATTTTTAGTTTTTTTTTTTTTTTTTTGTCATATTAAAGAGACAGTAGACCAATCTAAAGAAAGTGCAAAAGTGTTCACCACCATCTGTATAGTTTATTTGGTTTATTCATATACAAACCAATCAAACCAAGTCTCTGACTTGACGGCAAAATAGAAAAGTTTATTTGTTTTTCTGCAGTCAATGACTTTCTTCATTTCTCAGCCGGCTCTCATGGTGTTTCCAGTTTTCAAAACCTGCTTTTTTTAAAAAAAAAAAAAGTGTATGCACAAGTGCACAAGGAAGTGAATCGATCAAAACTAACTTTATCTGGACAACAACTTAATTCTAGAGCTGCCGTAAAGCCAAACCAAACAGTCTATATTGTTAAAACTAAGTGCTGTATAAATGAAGATGACTTGACTTGCTTTTCATTATCAGCCATATACTCATTTGCTTTTATTCACTTGTGTCAACAACTATTCTCTTTTGTGTTCAGCTGTTTAATGAGACCATTATTTGTTCAGGCCTTTCCTACAAGCATTCAATTCAACTTTTGACTATATTGCATCAGCGCAAATCAGATTACACATGATTACATGAACAGAAAATAAGAAAAATGAGCACAAGCATTTGTTTTTATTCAACATTGTTTCATATAATTTATTTGATGTAATTCTGCATAGATTGGCCGGAGATATGAATGGAGCAACAGACTCAGATTCATGGGAAATTCCTGAAGAGACATTATCAAAATGATAAGCATGGGTGGTGGGCTGTATTGTTTTCTGCAGCAAAATGATACACACCTATTGTAAAGCAAAGCTAGCGAGGATTGTTGATTTGTTAAGCGCGGTGACTTCGTCGCATTTGCAAGTGTGTGTGTGTATATGTTTGTGTCCGCTCTGTGAAATCTTCTTTTGGGATGTTTATGTGTATCTTGGAGTAAGTTTGGAATATTTTCACATGGCAGAAAGAAAACAGATTTGTGTTGTGAATGTGTTGCCCCTTTGCAGCTGGACTCTCTCTCAGCAGGAAACGAGGGGGAGGCTTTAGTGGGCCGGACAGGAAACACTCGCAAAACTGGCATCCTGTTGATCCACTGATGGTCAGTCAGATAGAAATACAGGACATGGCTTTATTCAGCCAAAGAGTGGACATTGCGCACACATGTACATTTTAAAGGGGAATTTTAACTGTGAACTTCCCTTTCTCTAGACAGGAAAGTAAGAGGAAGTAGCGCGAAAAAAAAAGTGTTAAGTCACAAAATATAAAGTCATTTTCACTTTCTTTCATTTTTCTGTCTGTTACTTATATTTGTATATTTCTCTGTCTGTGTTTGTTCCCAGGATGTTGGTGTGTATGGAAAGCTGATCTGAGGATCTGGTGAGATGCAAATCTGATAATGTCTGTTGACTTAAACTCAAATAGTCATTACATTTACACTGTTACTGAGGGGAACAAACTAGAGAAACCTCTCAACATGGACACACTTCGTCAATTAAATGCTATAGAGAGCACAAAATCAATCTCAACACTTTATGATTTAACAAAAATCACAATATAGCTTAGTGTATTATCTAATAATTAATAAATAAATACATGCGCTGCTTTTTTTGGAGTGAAGTGCAGCACTGTGATCTTTTACACGCAAGCATCCAGTGTTTTGAATTCGGCTCCGCACGATCTCATCTCTGAGTTTGTGTCGCTTATGACGTGCGTTTGGGAACACGACATGCGTTTAGGAACATCATCTTCACAATGTTGTCATGAGAAGCGATTATAAACCTGCTATTGTCAACAAAAGAGAAGCTGAAAGGTCTCTCTGTGGTTTCCACTGAAATAAAAGCTCAATGGTTTGACGTATAGCAAAGGAATTAAGATCCATAAATATTAGTACTGTAATTGTACAACTGTACTGTAAAATAACATTTTTAAACAAATATTATTTACAGTGCAATATTACTGGATTACATTTTTTTTAGAAATTTGTCTAATATATTTATTGAGATAAAGTAATAATTATTATTACATTTAAAAAATATTATTATTATTATATAATATATAATCATTTTGGTAAAACTTTACAACGAGGTTTCATTAGTTTACATCAGTTAATTACTTTAGTTAACATGCACTTAGATTAAACAATACTTCCACAGCATTTATTTCTTTCAGCATTTATTTATTTAAGATATTTTATTTATCAACATAGATACATCCATCTTTTTGAACATTTATTAAAATCAAAAGTTGTATTCATCAATTAGTTATTGCAGTGGGAACAAACAATGAATGACTGTACTTTTATTAACTAACATTAACAAAATAAATGTTATTTTGTATAATTTTATTTTCTAATTTTCTAATTATTAGTCATATAGCACCACAAAATTGGAGCCTTTTTAAATCATATTACAATGATAATTTTAGATTTTGACACAAAATGTAGATTTTTTTCTCCAAATCGTACCTTATGTCATTGCATTAGCTTACTAGATACTACTGTCAAATTAATTCCCCTTTATCTTGTTTCTATGGGAAGAAGCTCTGTTTCCAGGGTGATGAGCCGTGTGCTTTGAAAACATCCAATATTATGGGCTGTGCTTGCTGTAAGCAGAGGAAGGCCAGTAAAGCTGTGTCGAATCCCAACTCGTGCGACACAGGCAATGGGATCCAGTCATTAGAACCCTCCCGATACATCCCCGATCCGACTTTTAACCCATCAACGGGGTTGATCCCGAACTTTAATGATTTTTCAAACACAGCACCTGCTCCCTCGTCCCGCCCAACTGCCATCACAGGTGTGTAAAGTGCCTGTTTCAGTGTTTCATCATAAGGATGATAACGTTGCTTACCTTACTGAAAACTAATATGTGTGTGTGTTTGTTCAGGAGGAGGTGTAACGCTCTTTATAGCTCTCTATGACTATGATGCCCGTACAGAGGACGACTTGAGTTTCCAGAAAGGAGAAAAGTTCCATATTATCAACAACACGTGAGTTCAAATCAGGACAGTTCGAGTATCGTCTTTTTTGACCACAAATATTAACCATATCTTCCTTCTTTCCCCTTGCTTCTCTCTCTCTCTTTGGTTCCTCTTGTCCCTCTTTCTGTCTCATTTCCTTTTTTCCTGGTCTTTCTGATATCTCTCTCTCTCTCTCCGTCCGCAACCCACAGCGAGGGTGACTGGTGGGAGGCTCGTTCACTGGACACAGGGAAGTCTGGGTACATTCCTAGTAATTATGTGGCCCCTGTGGACTCCATACAAGCTGAGGAGTGAGTTACACATAAACATGCCCTTTCATGAAGTTACAATTAGGGGTCGACCGATTATCGGCACTGATATTAAAGTCCCTGTAAAGTCGAAATTGTGTTCTGAGTTTGTCACACCACAGGAAAAATGTGTTATTAGCCCTCCAGACAAATTTGAATGATAAAAAATGCCGGCAAGTACATAAAATCTACTGGGGGGCGTGTCCGCTGGCTGCGCTGAAACCACGCCCACTCGCGGGAAAGCTGCCGACGGTGATATTAGCTGATACTGGAGGATGAATTCTGAGGCGGGAGATAGTCGGTTCGGCCTCGTTCATCAGTAACAGCGGATTCTCAGTGAATCCCTTACGAAAGTTTATAAAACTATCCCGTGTAAAATGATCACTAGAGAGACCATTGTTGGCGGTGATCCTCAGCTCTCCATCAAGGTTGGCTCTTCACAAAATTAATCCACCTCTTCTTTAGGAAATTTAAATAAAGACACCGATATGTTTTGTACATGATCGCATTCAGGTAGTAGCCTACGAGAAGGCATAGCTAGCAAACTGTAGGCTGGAATAACTAATATTACTGACGGAAACTCGCGATTTGAGCTATTGTTAGGGGAGGGGCCAGCCTCGGTGCGTCATCAACTAGGCGAGTGTCCAGGGGCTCCAGTGCATCATCGAGCCCTGTTTTTGCCACTTCCGGAAAATAGCAATGGTGAAAAACTCCACAATTCAGTACTTAATAGTTCATAGTCTTTGTGATATGTTTTAGCAATACATTTCTAACATTCATAATGTGTTTTTTTTTAATTGCCTTTACAGGGACATTTTTATGGATATCGGTATCGGTCATTTTCAAAACCGATTTGCCGATAAAATAATTTTATTTTGAAATGCGCTATATTTGGCTCTAACGCAGCCACATCTGTCGGAACTCACCACTCTGTAGACTAGACCAATGTCCCTGCGCATCTGATTTGTTGGGAGTCACGAGTCCGGCGGATCAACGCGGAAAGCTGAGGCACTGTCACCGAAAGCACTTGCTGACTGGAGCTGCTTTACAGATTATCAGTTGTCTCTCAAAGTTGAGGCAGCAGCAGACTTTGCTGAAGAAGCAATTTATTACTGCACTGAAGTTGCAAAATATCTTAATATAATAGAGCCCTGTGATTTCCGCGATGCAGAAAACAGACGAAATCCAGTCATAAATACGGAATAATGTACAAAGTGGAATATCACGGAGTTTGTCAACTTTTTGATGAATTTATAAATAGGCTAGTCTGTACAAATCAAATAGAATTTTAAACCACAAAAAAACTATTGAAATATGAATCCTGCGTGTCTCTAAATGAATGGCGCAGATGCCTGATTTTCTTTACCACACACACAATGGAGCACGCATGACGATTGCGGTGTTTTCAGCCTCAGCCGCATCATTATATGAGGACATGATTGCATAAACATCTCCACAGTCGTTTAGTCACTTCATGAGCTTTTTAATGCTTCAACCGAGAAAAGTTAGCGTCATATCATATCATAAACACACAAAAAGTCAAATATCTCCCAAGTTTTTCATAGGGCCCTAAAAATGTAATTTTTGTTAATCTGTAAATAAATTGAAAAAGTTTGATTTCAATTAATTAGAAATGCTTTTCGATTACTAAAATTGAATTTAAACATTAAAATAGAGTCTTTAAGTTTTACAAAATGTTTACAGAATGCTGCTGGTTATTATAATTATTATTATTATTATTAATAACAGTTCTCAGACTCAAAGATAAGTTTAAAATAATTTAAAGAAAATCTTTGTCAAAACATTTTGTTATTCTTAATTTTGACATTAATTTACATTTTTACACTAGACATATATCGGTTCAAAATATCAGTTATCGGTCTATTTGATCTGTAATAATCGGTATCGGCACCGGCCCTGAAAATCACATATCGGTCGACCCCTAGTTACAATCACATTATATACATTTTAAAATACACTTTTTTTTGGTCAATGCAGGTGGTATTTTGGGAAGATGGGCCGGAAAGATGCTGAACGACAGTTGTTGGCACAAACTAACCCTAGAGGGACATTCCTAATACGTGAGAGCGAGACAACGAAAGGTAAATGTTTATATCTTAAAGTTTAGCAATACATTCTGTATATTTACATTTCGCTTTCAGTAAGGACTACTAATGCTTTAAAATTAAGTCTGTCAATCGAAAACATATTTGTATTGTTATGATATTATGTAGAATTGTGATTAATCTCATATTTTTTTGAAGGAAGAGATTAATGCTTTCATACAGCTTGACATTAACTTTTTGGCTCACCAGCCACTGTGGCTAGTGGTTTCTAAAAGTTTCAAAGTTTTCACTGGCCACAGTTTTGACATTGATACCATGTGAAAAAACTGCCATATAGATATTTTTTATTTATCTCATAAAATCTGCTGTCACTAGGGCTATCAAGAGATCAATCATGATTAATCGCATCTAAAATAAACGTTTGTGTTTACATAATATATGTGGGTGCACTGTGTATAATTATTTTGTATATACATAAATACACATACATGCAACTATATTTAAGAAAAAAATATTATTTAAATATAAAATATTTATATTTATATATAATATAAATTATATATAAATCTATATACATGAAAATATTTCTTAAATATATACATGAATGTGTGTGTATTTATATATATAAAATAATTATACACAGTGCACCCACATATATTATGTAAACACAAACTTTTATTTTGAATGCGATTAATCGCGATTAATCGTTTGACAGCCCTAGCTGTCACTTTAAGACCTGACGCACGGATCCATTATACTGTTACACGTGTTTTCCTCCTCAACTTTATGTTTACTTGCGTAAAAAGAAAGGAAATAAAGACATCATCAAAGTTGTCCATGTGACATCAGTGGGTTAGTTACAATTTTTGAAGCATCGAAAATACATTTTGGTCGAGATTATTAATTTTAGTAATTTCATTATTAAAAATTGGTTTGATATCCACTGAATTCATCCCGCCAGCCAATTTAAAAACAGAAGGATGTTCAAACCTTTGAAAATGTGTTTAAACGCATCTTTTCACCTCTTTTTAGGAGCATACTCTTTGTCCATCAGAGACTGGGATGATGCGAAAGGCGAACATGTCAAGCACTATAAGATTAGGAAGCTGGACAATGGCGGTTATTACATCACAACAAGGACACAGTTTGATACCGTCCAGCAGCTGGTGGAGCATTATACAGGTAAGTGCAATACAAATATAACACTTTTATTTGAAAAATGTTATTATACATATACATATTTTATTATACAACATATTGTATTAAAGAGGTCATATAATGCTCATTTACCGTTTCATGATTTTGTTCATGCGGTCAACTAGAATACATAATGTTAATGTTACAAAAACAACATTTTTTTTAAAAATCCGCCTTCCGAAAAGCACAGTCTGATCTGATTGGTTGTGATTCGTCCACTGCTTAAAGTGTGTGTCAGAAATGTAACACTCCTTACGCTAAGGTGCTGTAAACATCAACAAATGTCTATGAATGTAAACACTACTGTAACTACACTAACTATTGAATCAGTTTGGCCGTGTCAGACTAAAGACAACAATGTTTAAACGAGTAGTTCACTTTTAAAAAAAACTTTTGCTGATAATTTACTCACACCCATGTCATCCAAGATGTCCATGTCTTTCTTTCTTCAGTCGAAAAGAAATTAAGGTTTTTGATGAAAACATTCCAGGATTTTTCTCCATATAATAAACTTCAATGGGGTCCAAACGGTTTAAGGACCAAATTAGTTTCAGTGCAGCTTCAAAGGGCTTTAAACGACACCAGACAATGAATAAGGGTCACAGAACAGAGGAAGGCGAGCATTTGTGCTTATAAAACTTTATTTTTGATATGACCGATCGTTTCGCTAGATAAGACTCTTATTCATCGTCTGGTGTCGTTTAAAGCCTTTTGAAGCTGCACTGAAACTGCCTTTTGGACCTTGAACCGTTTGGACCCCATTGAAGTCCATTATATGAAGAAAAATCCTGGAATGTTTTCATCAAAACCTTAATTTCTTTTCGACTGAAGAAAGAATGACATGGACATCTTGGATGACATGGGGGTGAGTAAATTATCAGCAAAAGTTTTTTTAAAAGTGAACTACTCCTTTAAGTGAGTTCAGAAACCCTAACAATGATACATACTGTACTGTAGAATAACTCCCCCTGACTTTGTGCTTTGTAACTTTGCAGGACTTTATACTGCTCAAAGAGCAACATTACACACTAAAGAAAGTTAAATGTAAAAAAAAATAAGAGGTCACTGACCGTTAAATGTTTTGTCTATAATATTAAAGAAATTCTTCAGAAGGAAGCATTGTTTATTGGCTCTACAGGATATGTGGCGTGTTAATATTTAAAAATATTTAATATTTAATATTAAAGTTATCAACAGGTCAGTTTATTTTTGCCCATCTTTATTTCCTCTTAGTGCCCAAATGACTTCTCTGCTTCCATCGAGTTTATCTTTTGTATCTGTTTCTGTTAGTGATCCTCTTACTCAACCTGTCAGTCTTGTGCCATCAGCCTTCCTGTTTCACTGTTATTGTTGAATCTACAGTCACTCGCACACACACTCCACATGCATGAATATACAGCGGTGCTTCTCAGACAGACAACTTCAACAGTGAAACTGAAATTAGACCACCTACTACCCCAAATATGGGGCAAACCACAAATTACCACCGAACAGTTACTTTCAGTTCTAAGTGCTGAAGACATTTGTACTCTACATATTGAAATAGTCCCATTTTTATTAATCCAAATTTTACCAGACTACTACTTACATTTAAATGAACTGGAGTACTACTGTTCACTAGCTAATGAGTTGGAATGTACACTCAAAAATATTGGGGTCAGTAAGATTTTTTTAAAGAAATTAATTATTGTATTTAACAAGAATGCATTAAAGTGATCAAAATTGACAGTAAAGGCTTTTCCATTTTTACGTAATTTTTTTTTTGAACTATTATGCTGAAAATTCAGCATTGCATCACAAGAATAAATGACAATTTACATTATATTCACATAGAAATCAGCTATTTTAAGTTGTGATAATATTTCACAATATTACTGATTTTACTGTTTTTTTTTATCAAATAAGTGCACCTTTGGAGAGCAGAAGAGACTTCTTTTAAAAACGGAAAAAGAGTACTGTGTAACTAACTTTTGGGTATTTATTGAAGTCGGACAGTAAAAAAACACAAACCATAAGAATACTAAATTAAACAAAATATAGAATCATAAATTAAAAAGTCAATTGCTTCGTTGTTATGAGATTATTAATCTATCAATTAATTAATTGCAGTGTTTTTTTGTTGTTGTAATTTATCATTTATTTATAAAGGTATTTCTACTTTAATAATAATAGTAATTAAATAAATATAATATTAAATGTATTATTACACATCTATTATTAAAAGTAAATACATCATTATTTTAGAGAATAGTTTAAAGGGATACTCCACTTTTTTTTGGAAATAGGCTCATTTTACCACTCCCCCAGAGTTACCGTTTTTGAATCCATTCAGCCGATTTTCTGATATTTAGAAGAATATCAGTAACCAGACAGTTTCTGGTCTCATTGACTTCCATAGTAAGAAAAACATATACTATGGAAGTCAATGAGACCAGAAACTGTCTGGTTGGTTACTGATATTCTTCTAAATATCAGAAAATCGGCTGAATGGATTCGAAAACGGTAAAACCCAACTGTTTAACTCTGGGGGAGTGGTAAAATGAGCCTGGCTATTTCCAAAAAAGTGGAGTATCCCTTTAAGAGAATACTTATAATCTAACACATCTTTTAGCATATTGCTGCTCTGGCGCCCTCTGCTGAGTGAACATGTATCATACAGCTTTTTATGTGCATATGTGCTTGTGATTCCTTCTTTAATCTGATTTGTGCATTTGTAAATGTTTGTTTTATATACCTTGCTATAGCTTGCTGTCTCCTCTCGTTTCTATCCATGTCTTTCTTTTTCTCCGTACTGTGTTCTTCAGAGCGCGCAGCAGGGCTGTGCTGCCGTTTGATTGGCAGCTGTAGGCGGGGCATGCCTAAACTTGCTGACCTGTCAGTGAAGACTAAGGACGTTTGGGAGATTCCCAGGGAGTCACTTCAGCTCATTAAGAAACTGGGCAATGGCCAGTTTGGTGAAGTGTGGATGGGTAGGAACCACAAAAAGCATGGGAACATGTTGCAGGAGGAAGGGAACAAACCTCGCACACCTTACTCACCCTGCCTGTGGTACAGTGCCTTGCAAAAATATTACATTTCTCAAAGGTACAATATGTAACTTTTTGGCCCTCTAGCTTTGTTTTTTTGGTTTGTTTTTGGTTTTGCTTCGGCTGTGCAGATGAATATGGTTATCCCACTGTTCATAAAACATTCACTACTAGACTTAAAGAGTAGTTCACTTTTAAAAAAACTTTTGCTGATAATTTACTCACCCCCATGTCATCCAAGATGTCCATGTCTTTCTTTCTTCAGTCGAAAAGAAATTAAGGTTTTTGATGAAAACATTCCAGGATTTTTCTCCATATAATGGACTTCAATGGAGTCCAAATGGTTCGAGGTCCAAATGAGACTTTCAGTGAAGGTACAAATGGCTTTAAATAAACCAAATGCTCGAAAAAAAGATTCGTTTATTTTGATGAACGAGTTCGAACCGGAGAGGGGGATGACATGGGGGTGAGTAAATTATCAGCAAAAGTTTTTTTTAAAGTGAACTACTCCTTTAAGAGATATAACCAGTTTAGGATCTCAAGCTGATTAGCTGAAGACGTAACCATCTGTTCGATAAAATACTCGTGTTGAGTAATAAAAACACCATCTTTGTATTGTTTTTATGTACGCAATGTCCAGCGAAAACCATCCCGACATGTCTAAAAGATAAACACTTATAACAGGCGTTATAAAGCAACGTTTTAGAGGAAGGACTGATTATGTATTGACTTATTATTTATATTGTGTTAGATTTTAACATAAAAAGTTACAAGTTGTACCTTTTAAAGAGGTAGTTCAGCCAAAAATAAAAATTGTCGGAATTAACTCACAACCCTCGTGTTGAAACCAAACCTGAATGACTTTCTTTCTTCTGCAAAACTCAAAAGATACACGTCGGTAACCAAACAGTTTTAATTACCATTGACTTTTTTTGAATGAATATCAAAATATCTTCTTTCACGTTCTAATTGAAGAATGAAAGTCACATAAAAAAAAATTGCAAGGAACTGTGTAGATGAAAGAGTAGATCTCAGGGAAGTAATGTAAGGCTGTGGTGTTTTTGTTCTCTCTCTCTGGTCTTTCTAACAATGCATGCCATCCTGTTTCCCTCCTCTTCCACCCCCCTCTTTCTCTCTTTCAACACTCCTAACAGGTAGTAATGATGGTTTATGTTGCTACTTGACCAAAGCCTGTCCAAATGCCACGCCCCAAACACTGGGTTTAGGGCGGGATGCCTGGGAGATCGCCCGGGAAACGCTGCAGCTCAACAGAAAGTTGGGTCAGGGTTGTTTTGGCGACGTCTGGATGGGTGAGACGGATACGACAGTGTCAATGTCCATGTCAGCGTTTGCTAAAGCTACAGCCAGCGTTCCCAAAGGATGCATCAGTCTTTGGCACTTTTTCTCCATGCACACTGTCTATTTCAATCCAGACCTTTGCATTGGCAAATGCAGTCATAATGACAAGAGAACATGGAAAGGTGTCATTCACAATGCTGAATATCCAAAATGCATAAAGCACAAATGCTGTTATTGACCCTGCTTTGCCAAGCATCAGTCTATGGTTCTGAATCGTCAGCTAATCCTCAAATGCACTACGTCAGCTAAACCCCAGTAGCATTTTTTAGCGCAGTGTCAATGTTCATTGTGACATTAAAAAATTAAATGCAACAGCACATTCGACATACATTGCATATAGAAAAATAAAAAATCAGCTCTTTTCCAGTAGTCTGCAGTAATCCCAGCTTCCTGTTGCTTTGGTGTGTGGCCGTATTCCCAGATGCCTCTACATCTGTTTCTCCCCACCCCTTCTCTCATCCCCTAAACATTGCCATGTTCAAACGCTTCTTCCGAATGTGTCTGACAACATTTCTATGTGTAGGCATGTGGAATGGCACAACTAAAGTTGCAGTGAAAACCCTGAAGCCAGGCACCATGTCTCCGGAGGCCTTCCTGGACGAGGCCCAGATCATGAAGAGGCTCCGGCATGATAAACTGGTACAGCTGTATGCGGTGGTGTCGGAGGAGCCCATCTACATCATCACAGAGTTCATGAGTCAAGGTACATACAGTCATGAGAACGTTGTTTGAGAGAGACAAAAGGTCAAAATGTTTAGGTAACACTTTACTTGAAGGGGTGTGCATAAGACTGGCATGACACCTTCATAACCATGACATATGTTATGAATATGAAGTAGGGTTTATGCATGTGTTATGGCAACTGTCATTAAGTGTCTTTCGCTTAATAATGACATTTTGAATGCAAATATGACATTAAAGGGTACATATGATGCTTTTAAATCATTCATTTTTACATATAAATCATGCATTTGCGGTCTGTATAAAGCAAAACTGCAATGATTGGGTCTGAATTCCTCATCATTATAGCTCCACAGGCCCCTTTTCTACCCCTTTTCTGACGTGCGTCTGTGAGGAACTCGTTTTGGAGCGGCCCCTTTAAATAAAAAGGAGCTGTATCACACCCCGCCCACTCTCCAGGTCGCTGAGTTTACACTCGGTTCAACTCCACCCCGTTCGGCCATTTTTGTAGTTTGATTAGAGATATACGATTATATAGCGTCAAATAACATTTTTAGTCACACGTTAACAAAATGTCAACAACAGAAGACTTGTCCATCAAGCCTTACATGTTCGAGCCAGAGCGAGCGAGTTGAAAAAGACAATGACGAACTTGCAGAACAACGTCTTCATATGATTGAATTGCAATGGTATGTAACTGTATTGTGTTATAAGTGAAAGTCGTTTATTTCTCTTGGTGAAACAAGCACACTAACAAGATAAATTACTACGGTCTAATCCTACCACTAAAAATCTGTATTGGTAATATGATGCGTTTAGAAAAGCATCAGAAAACACAGCAGCTACATGACTATTGATGAAACTCAAGAACAATAATACTGCAGACGTCTAATGTTACTTCAAAACAAAAAAAAAAGAAAGACAAAGGTACTGCTAAACCTTGGGGGAGCTCATTTTACAACTCCCCCAAAGTTAAACAGTTGAGTTTTACCGTTTTCAAATCCATTCAGATGATTTTCTGATATTTAGAAGAATATTAGTAACCAGACAGTTTCTGGTCTCATTGACTTCCATATGGAAAAAAGTGGAGTATCCCTTTAAGAAAGTATACTACTTTATTTTTATTAACGATATTTACAGCTTATCGAAATTCTCTGTTCGTCGTCTCCAAAGATAGTAGGAATTGACCCCTCATTCAGTCGAAGTCGATCGGCGAACCCTTCTTTACACTGGCGGAGGTTGTTGAAGTGGGAATCCTTGAAGCGCTTCTGGTCACTACATCCAACAACCGAACATTTTGACTTGCCCTCTCGTAACTTCTGTATCATTGAGCTCGGACTACAAAATCGGAGCGAGAAATAAAAATGGCCGTGTTGGGCCGGTAGTCAATGTCTTTATTTGTCAGTTCCGCTGCAAATACTGTGACGTAATTGTTCAAAATACATCATAGAGAACAGAAAAATCTGAACAGGTTGAAAAATATGACCAAAACAGAATATAAAGATATAAACGAAGCACCTGAAGAGAATAATTTCATCTTTTCTGTACTTATAAACACTCCAAATATACAACAAAATTCATTTAAGGGCTAAAAAAGTGGATTTAGCATATGTCCCCTTTAAGATGTCTTTATGACATCCTGACATAAACCATAATAAAATAACCTGTCAGTGTCTTTGTCATGACAACTTGACATTAAATTAAGTTAAACTGTCATGTGGTTGGCTTTGACATTGGCTCTCATGAAGCATTATATAACTGTGACATGAATATGTGTCATGAACTGTGTCATGACAATGTCTTTTTTGTATTAGCGAATGACACTTAATGACAGTTGTCACAAACATGCATAAAACTTCCTACATATTCATAACATATGTCATGTCACGATTATGAATGTGTCATGTTAGTCTTATGCACACCCCTTCAAGTAAGGTGTTACCCATGTTTATATGCACTACCATTCAAAAGTTTGGGGTCGGCAAGGTTTGTTAATGTTTTTGAAAGAAGTCTCTCTCCAAAGTTGCTTTAGTTTGATTAAAAAATACAATAAAAACTGTTATATTCTCAAATATTTGTATAATTTAAAATAACTGGTTTCTATTGTAATATATTGTAAAATGCCATTTATTCCTGTGATCAAAGCTGAATTTTCAGCATCCTTACACCAGTCTTCATTGTCACATGATCCTTCAGAAATCATTATAATATGCAGATTTGCTGTTTAGGAAACATTTATTATCAGTGTTGAAAACAGTTAATAGTTTTTTTTGGAAAATGTTCCACGAATGTCTTAAATGTCACGATTTTAAGCATCCTTAAAATGACCCCCAACTTTTGTATGATAATGTATGTTTTTATAGTATATAAATATTTTTTAAAAATGATACACACACATAAACATTTTGTTTGATGCTTCTGTTTAGGAAGCTTGTTGGACTTTTTGAAAGATGGAGATGGCAGAAATTTAAAATTGCCTCAACTTGTGGACATGGCAGCCCAGGTAAAGCTTCTTATTAGTACACAAATATATATCAAACATTCATTATCCATTACTGGGACAGTCGTCCTGAAGCAACTTAGTGTTAAATGGTTCAAGTTGGAACCAAGAAGCTGGTGTTCGGTCTAGTGAATAAAAAGAAACCATTGATTCTTGAATGAATCACTTTATTGAATCTAAAAAATTGCAGCTTTACCAGAATTGCTCTTTGCATTTCCCATTTCTATTTATGGTAACATATCAAGCCATAATGGATCTTCAGATCCTGGATCAGTTAAGTCTTAGTATGAATACATAAGACAACCAGATATCTCAGTTGTTCTGTACAGAGTCAATCACCCTTGAACCTTTTGAAAAACAATTGTCAAGATATAAAAAGCATCTTTCTTTGTATTTTTGAGAGCATGTCTTTATCGAGAATGTGTCCATACTTGGCAGGTTTGAATAAAATGATTGGGTTCGAATGCTCTGTTAGTTCGGTTCATCTGAATAAGTGTGAACGCTGTTATCCAGACCCTGGTGACATCAAACAAGTGGACTGAGATGCTGAAAAGATGAGTTTCGGTCCGCTTCCAAACAAACTGGTGCAGTTCGAATGAACATGAATGCAACAAAGACAAACAAATGATGCAAGATGTGACCCTGAAAAGGACAGATTGCTCAAGCATATCTGTTTTTTTCTTGTCATAGTCACGATGTTGCCCATCACAGTTTGTCTCATCGCAGCAGATCTTCGTTCATGTGTGTGACGGAGGGATTCCGGACGGTGTTTTGACTCCTTTACCCATTTTATAAGCTCTACAGGAGTTCTCAGCTGATCAAAATGGCATCATATGTAGCTACACACATACATTGAGCGCATTTATCCCAGAACACAGCGTTGTTTTGCTTGTTCAGTAAGTTCCATCTCGAAATATACATGATCAAAGACGACCAATCAGGTTGTGAACATTTCCTTATGCCTTTAGGTTCGGCATCTTTAGCTTCGGTGTTAAAATGCCAATGTGGACGCTAAGCCAACCAGGACTAAATGTTTTTTTTTAGGGTGGGTCTGTACAAAACTTACCGAACTACAAGTGTGAACACACCCTTGACATTTTATAAGCTCTTCACGAGTTGTCGGCTGGTAAAACATCATACAGTATGTACGCATTCAGCCTGGTGGCCAGCATTGTTTAGGATGTTTATAAGTTCGGTCGCAAAATATATGTCATAAAGGCCTTTTTTTCCTGTCTTTAGGTTCTGTGTTTAAAATGACAGTGTGAATGCTAAGCAAACCAGGACTAAATGTATCACTTGCTTTTTTGGTCTGGACTAAAAGAAGCAAGAGAACCGAAACTACAAGTGTGAACACACCCTAAAACTAATAGCAATCTCACTTCTTATGTATTGTGATGAAAGCGCTTTCTTTCTTCTAGATCGCTGGGGGCATGGCGTATATTGAGCGGATGAACTACATCCACAGAGACCTGAGAGCTGCCAATATCCTGGTTGGAGAGGGTCTGGTCTGTAAGATTGCAGATTTTGGACTGGCTAGACTCATTGAGGACAATGAGTACACAGCTAGACAAGGTCACTGACAATCTATGACCTAAACTTGATCTTGAGTTTCATCCTTTATGTGATACTATCAAATGTTATTTATCTCTTCTTTGCCCTTCACTCTATATCATTCCTGCCCATTTTGTTCTTTTTTATTTTTTAAGCTTTTATTAATTATAACATTTCCTTGCATTTGGATGAGTCCTGGAATCTTAGTCAAGCCATTCAACAATAGGGTATATTGGCTAAAAAATAAAAAAATAAATATATATATAACATTTTTTACAGCAAAACATATTTTGTGAAACAGATGTTACATCCAAAATTATAAGAGAAAGAAAAAAGGGACATACAATTCATCAATTGTAGTAACAATAAAATGTACGTAATATGTTGCAAGGCAATGTCAGCCAACCCATTATTACAGCTTTTTTTGTATATCCAGTAAGCTATATAGTTAGATCCGATCTGTTTTCATTTATTTTTTATTTTTCAGAGGTACTGAGGTACTCATTCCCAAAATGGTTCATTTCTTTTTATTTATTTCTATCATTACTTCTTTCATTCCTCATATCCTTTGTATCTCTTATTCAATAATTCTTAAGATTTCCCTTTTTTCTTGAAAAAATATTTAAAAATTCTACACTAGGTCTGGTCTAAGTGGGATAATGTAGTCTATCCATATTTTCTCCATAGATTGATAAATTTCTCAGACTGTAGCCGAAGATTCATTGTTAACTTCTCCATTGTGTGAATTTCATACACAATTCCCAGCCAATCGTTAATTCTGCTCATTTTGTTCTAATACTCATTTTACTTGAGTGCAATTTTCAGCTTTAATTTCTCAATTTTGGGCTGCTGCCTCTCTGTACATTTAATCATTATTAAATGTGTGCTGAATTGATCGTCTCAATCCTCATATTATAGGAGCAAAGTTTCCAATAAAGTGGACCGCCCCAGAGGCTGCTCTGTATGGGAAATTTACCATCAAATCAGATGTGTGGTCTTTTGGCATCTTGTTGACGGAGCTCATCACCAAGGGCCGAGTGCCTTACCCAGGTGCGTTTGTAAAAACCAAAGAAGAATCACACTGATAGACCAAAGAAAATGAAGGCTTAAAGGGGTAGTTCACCTAAAAAATGTAGGTGAACCAGAGGTGAACTCACCATCAAGTTTTTCATGCTTCATGAAATGATGTAAAAGCACCATAAATGTATCATAAAGTGTTCCATGTAACTCATGCGTTATATATCAAGTCTCCTGAAGCAGGGTTATTATCGTTAACTAAAACTAAACCAAAAACAATAATTAAAAAAATGAATTATTTGAAATAAATGTTAACTAAAATAAAATATTAAAATATATATATTTTGTTTTAGCAAGTTGCCAAACATTTCTCATTTCCATTTAGTTTGTTGCCGATTATCTTTATTTTAGGGCTGTGAAACGATTAATCGTGATTAATCGTATCCAAAATAAAAGTTTGTTTTTACATGTGTATAAAGTAGGGCTGTCAAACAATTAATCACGATTAATCGCATCTAAAATAAAAGTTTGTGTTTATATAATGTGTGTGTAGTGTGTATTATATAATACACACTACACACACATATAATATATGTGTTATAATTATTTTGTATATATAAATACACACACATGCATGTATATATTTAAGAAAAAATATTATTGATGCATAAAATATTTATATATAATATAAATTATACTGTATATAAATCTATATACACTATATACATGAAAATATTCCTTAAATATATACATGAATTTGTGTGTATTTATATATACAAATAATTATACACACCACACACACATATATTATGTAAACACTAACTTTTATTTTGGATGCGATTAATTGTATGCTATTAACCTGGTTAACCTGTTTGTTTTTGTTTTTTGTTAAAAAGATTACAAGAACTGAAAGTCATATAAAGTCAATAAAAAATAAATAAAATAATTAGTTTGGCCTTCTTGGTTGATAGCCAACATTTTCTGATGGTTAAGCACATGCTTCCACTGAAAAATAGGAAAAATATATTTATGAATATTTTGTATCCTACTGTTAAAACTTGTTTGTTTTTGAAAGAAGTGTCTTATATTTGATATCTTTGAAATGTATTTAAAAATGTAATTTTGATTTTTCAGCATCATTACTCCAGTCTTCAGTGTCACATGATCCTTCAGAAATAACTCTAAAATGCTGATGAATTCAGAACTACAAACACAAAAATTGTTAAAAACATGGCAGATGTGCACAACCAACGGTTAAGTAGAGATTTAGATTAGAAGGGTTTCATTGATTAATAATAAATAGTTAACCTGATAAAAATATTTATGTAATGTAATTTTTGGAATTTGTAACTTTTTTTATAAAGTTCCATTTGGCCGTTAACTTTAAATGCATCACTATGCAAAAATAAAGGTTCGCCACATGAAAGACCCACAGCTGGCAGATCAACATGCCCTTCTTTTCTCTCCTATATGGTAGGAAATTAAATTAAATGAGATGTGGAGGATGTTAACTGTGACAAGATGATTGACAGGCCAGTTTACGGTGAAAGGATGCATGTAACTATCCCTCAGCGCAATTTCATGACGCGACAGTATATCCCAAAGCATGTACTACACACTCAATAGTATGTACTTTTTAGGCGTATAGTGGGAAGCAGCAAGTTACTCTTATAATAAAAATCATACTTGTCTCGTAGGATATATATAATTCTCTTTTTCTGTATGTATGTATTTGTGCAGGGATGAACAACAGAGAGGTGCTGGAGCAGGTGGAGCGTGGGTATCGCATGCCGAGTCCGCAGGGCTGCCCGGCTTCACTGCACGAGCTGATGGTGCAGTGCTGGAGGAAGGACCCGGACGAGAGACACACCTTTGAGTACCTGCAGGGCTTCCTGGAGGACTACTTTACTGCTACTGAACCCCAATACCAGCCTGGAGAGAACCTGTGATAGCATTAGCTCAATATATCCTTCAGGAAAGATGCGATCGCCTTTCTAACTTTCTATCACAATACCTCCAAAAACTGCTGCACTGATGCACGGCACCTCAATCACAGGCTCTGGACATGCAATCTCTCATCTTGTGGTGTAGCGTGAGAGCTTCAAACTAAAAATGCCTTCCAAGATCTCAAACCGCAAGATGGGTCACTTTTTTGAAGTAATAATGGGCAATGCTAATGTCGGGTCTTCTTTAACTTTAACCCCTGGTTTCACAGACAAGGCTTAAGCCTAGACTAAAATACACGTATGAGGAGTTTTAACTGAAAGAATGTCTTTAAATGTGTCAGTTCCATTGTGTTTTGTCTCAAAGACGCACACCAGTAATGTTTTCTTCCGAGGCACATTTATAAAAGCTACTTTAATTTAAATAAGGCTTTATCCTGGCTTAATCTAAACCCTGTCTGTGAAACCAGGCCTATAAATATGATGGCACATATTAATACAGCTTATTGCATATCTTTGATTAGGCAATAGCAATCATATTTAATCATATTAATACCTACCCGTTTCATTATATCCACCGCTGTATTTGAATGCCTTGTCTCTTATAGACTATTTCTAATGAGTTATTCTGGCCAACGGAGGATTTTGCTCTGATATAAAACAGGAAATCTCTACTGGACATTCGGCAGTAATCCGGATAATTGAGATTTTTCACACAGCTATCTAGCCGGAGGTGTGTTTTCACAGAGAAAGCTCTTCCAGCTCCTGAAAGAGCATTTTTGAATGTAACAATTTTTTTGTCTCCCAAAAAAAAAAAAAAAAAAAACTCAATGCAAATGTCTTGATATGAAGTAGTCAAAAATGAAATCTTGAAATTACAGAGGTGATTGTGTGTCCATCTCAAAACTATTTGAAATGCTCTTGCTTTTGTTTCTCTGGGCTGTGTTCATTTATCCAGTCATGTTATTGCTTTATAATAATCATTTTTGTTTAATTTTGAAGTCTAACAGTCTTGTATTATCTTATTAGACAGCAGTTCTGTTGTTTCTAGTGAGTTTAAAGACGCAGTATTGACGTCAGCATTGAAAAAGACTTTCTTCAGAGCTGTCCTTTAAAATGAGAAGAAAAACTACTGTTTTTATTGTTTTGTTTCCTGCATTTTACACTGTATTTTCCATCTAATCGCTGCGATTTAGTCTATAATTTAAGTGGATATCAAACCTGTGGCTTTATTCGGGGTCAGTGATATTCTTGAAGTGAAGGATGTGTATTACAGTTATGTGATGTTCGTGCCATTTTATTATACTGAGCTTACTGAACTGAACCCATGTGTCTAACATGCTTCTTTTTACTTGACGTTGTCCACACTCACACACTTTTGCAGGATGCTTTCACATTACAGCTGCACTTTTGATCAGTGAAAGATCTTGATCCAACACCCACGCTATCTTATTCCTGAACGACGAGGATTCGGCTGTCTATAGCAGTTATCGTTCATATGTATGAAACAATAATTCAAATGATCACATAAGTACTGGAATAAAAGCTTTTTTAGTCCGGATAAACACTGATATCTACAGTAGCAATCTTGTTACACCAGTTGGTGGCGACAAATGACTGTGAAAGGATTTGTCACGATCATTTATTCAAGTGATTCATTTAAAGGGGTGATGAACTGAGAAATCAAATTTTCCTTGAGCTTTTGACATCTAAGAGGTCATATAAGTATATCCAGTAAGTTTCAGAACTAAAAACGTCCTTGTTAGTCCAATAAAAGCGTTTATTGACAACAGGTTCAGCAAACGTTTTTCAAAGTGGGGAACTATGACGTCAAAGAGGATAAAACACCACCCCGCAGAAGAAGATTAACACCTACTTCAACACGACCGGTTTAGCCCCGCCCGCCGATTCGCGCATTACACGCATATAGCTAAATAACATAGATGCCTACCTCATGATGACAAACCAGTTTGAGCAACCGAGCAATACAAAATATTGTGCAGTGCCTGGTTGTGGAAGAAGATAGACGCTGCACATGCTTCCTCTGGATTCCAATAGGACTGCATGGATAAACTTTATTTTTAATGACGTTCCAGCTGATGAGGTAAAACGTTGTCGCTTCATTTCACTGAGGATTGTTTTGTAAACAAGACTGGATTTGCAGACCGATCAAGATTAAAGAACAGTGCTGTGCAGTCTATATTGGATCCGACAGGAATGGTGCAATACACGGACTCTGGTCGAACATGTAGGCTATGGGCGAATCATTCCGGTTGCCATTTTACAACATTGGACGTTTTCAAAACACAGACGGGTGAGTCGAAACTCATTATAGTATGTAAAAACTGTTTTCCACTCACAGCAGTGGGCGTTTACTTCCAAGTCTTCAGTCCGCGAAGCCCAAACCGAGCGTTTTTCAGCTAGGCTCAAAACTAGGGTATAAAATAGCCTATTACTTATTTATTTTGATGTTTTTGAATGCAAAAATCAAGCGAACATCAAAAATTGACCTCAGACAACAATATAATACAATTTAAAAAGACAGGTGACCCCTTTAAAATGCTGATTCATAGGCTGTCTGAAATCACATAGGCTACTCATGTCTTGAGTAGGTACTTATTCTGAATAAGTAATTACTTCTCGACTGCTAAAAATGTGTAGTATGAATGTAATCCTGTGTAATCCCAGGCATAGACCGTAAAAGAAAGTAATCAGGTGTTGTGCCGAATTTCGACCCCCGCCAAATTATTACCCCCCTAGTATTGGTAGGTTTAGGATTAGTTGTGGGGGAGGGGTTAAGATTAGGGGCGGGGTTGGGATTAGGCAATCAGGTACTGACTTCAACGAGGGGGGTAATAATTTGGCAGGGGGTCGAAATTAGGCACAACACCGGACGTGCTACATTCGCCATGTAGTTACTGTCATGTGACCCACGGAGTCAGTTGTGTCGCTTCACTGTCCTTCACAAATCTTCTCCCATGGCCTAAAGGGATAGTAAAATGTTCATCGTATGCACACTTCAGAATCTCACCGGAAGTAGTAGGTCATCCAGGTACATTTTGCCGACTCTTTTGAGTACTGTGAATTCGGACATACTTCTTCTGTCACGGTTTTCGCCTTTATATAGTAGGGACGTATGTGATTTCGGACGCAGTCATAGTGTTTTCAATGGCATCCACTGTAAAAAGCTGTATAAATTCTACTACTAAACAGATCGTGATTCTCAGTTGATCAGGAGTGGTGCAGCGAGAGAAACACGCTCGATTGCTCACAACAGCTGCATTTTATGCTCTCCTCTCTGCTGTCCACAAGATGGCAGAAGAAGCATAATGTGAATACTGGGATG